TTAATGAAGATTTTTACCAAAAAAGTGGTAATTGTTGAAGATTCAGTTGAGCGTCACAGGTTCATTAGAGCCTCTATTTAAATCCTTTGACAATTCATGTACTAGAATATATCTCTAAGTTGGATGTTTGTCTCTTTCTTATGTATGCTTTAGATTAAAATATATCCCCGTACATAATCAATTTATTTTCTGTGCTTTTCAGGATCAAAAAACTATTCCTGACATTTGCATAGAAAAAAATAAAGAATCCTATCACTCTGACATAAGATGGAAATCACATTCTTTGTCCAAAAAAAATTGTCTTATCTATGCAAAGAAACCTCTGATTTTAACACTATTTCAAGTTACATTAAGATTATAAAGTTCTACTTTCTAGGTACATTTTGACATTATAACCCACAGATAAGGCAAAATTGTGCAATTTTATAAAAGTTTTATTCTAGTTGCCCTTAATCAAAATTTTATTAATAAATTTACAAATTGAATTGGGAAAAAGCTATCTTAATTTATTTAGTGTACATCATATATATACAAGTTAAGGTGGCACGGTAGTATTTCCTGGCCCATAGGGATAGTGTTAGCCTTTTTAGAATTTTCACCACTTTCTAACACTGACCCAGAACCTACATACACAGTTAACTGAAGTACTTTCAATAATATATTCAGAAATAAATTTGAATATGTTTACTTTTACTGCAATCTTTATAAAACTAAAACCACTAGTGCTTTTAGGTACTTTATCATGCAATGAATACAATTTTTTTTTTTTAATTCTCAAAATTTCATTTTCACCTCAGTCCTGTATGTAAAAGGGGCCGTAGTGGTAATCCGACGGTTCAATAGTCCGACGGTCTAACGGTCCGACGGTTCGATGGTTCGACGGTTCAATGGTCCGACGGTTCGATAGTCCGACGGTTCAGTGGTATTATAGTGATTCATAACCGCTAGATCGAATTTTTTGACAAAATGGCATATTAATTTACACCTGTCCGTTCGTCCATCCAGTCGTCCGTCCGGATATAGATACATGGTTTGTCCGGTAATCTCCTCCTACAGCTTTAATATTTTGTAAGATGTTTTTCAACATAATAGATTTGTGCATGTCCACAGGATTTAGATTTTTTTCAAATATTCTCAAAATGCCAGGTATAAAAAGTCAGAAAGCGGTATGTTAGATATTCACAAAAACCGGTAGTTGGACTTCATTTCCTTCTCACTTGCTATATAATTGAAAACATGTTTTGTACTACTACAGTTTAATGTCCTTATTGCAATAAATAAGACATTTTAGTAGTATCTAGTTGAACTTGATGACCACTGGAAATAGAAAGTTGAACTTGGTGACTACTAAAACTGGAAAGTTGAAGCCTTTTCAGTCACGCAAGTGTAGGCATTCAGAATAAAAATAAAAGATAGATCATCATACATAGTGTTAAATTTATAATTTATTGTGGTCAAGCGGGGGCATCGTTTGTGTCTTACAGACATCGCAACACTTTCAAGTTGTACTTCAACACCACTGTTTGTCAAATCTGAAGTATGTGGAACTATACTCATGCATATGGCAGAGCAGAGGGGGTATCGTGCATATCTAGTTTATTTTTTTTATTTATTTTTTTTTTTTTTTTTCGATACATAAAAAAATCCAGAGAAAAGCAATAATAATGTAACGAAAATGAAGATCAGAAAATATATGCTAAATAAGAAACAAAAGAATTCGATCTACATTGCCGCCACCACCAATATGTTGATCGGTATGGAATGCATATACAGTAGAACCTGTCTAATGCGACACCTGAGTATTCCAGAATCCTTTAAACTAGTCATCTAACACTTCTTGTCTGTCCTAAAGATTGTTTTTAACCTGTGTATTTCATCAACCTCTCTTGTCCTGCATATCTTTTTTTTTGTATTTTGGGTTGTAAGGCCGGTATGTTTAATTGTATTTGTTTCCAAGTAGTAACCGATCTCTTTATATAACTTAGTTTAATAATCATGATAATCGTCCCCAATCGGATTTGACACTTTCACAAGAGATTTTAACCATAACAAGCGCATCTGATCTCTCTGTAGATTTTAAGGTATATAAGTTAGGTTATTTGTATTACTAATATTGTCGGGTTTTGAATTCTTTGATTTTGTCTCTGGGTGTTTCTTGTTCGTTCTTACTTACGCTGGCGTTTGTTTGTTGATTATCTAGTTTAACGTTTGATATAAAAATAAGAAGATGTGGTATGATTGCCAATAAGACAACTAGCCATCCAAGACAAACAACAAAGGTATCGATGCCATCAACTTGGGCAATATCCTTCATCATAAATCGGTTCACCCAAAAATACCTCCATATTTTAAAGATCAGTCTGTACCTATCATTTCTTATACCTATACCAAACCAATTGCAACCAAAATGTTCAATTACAAACACATTTTGCAGGATATCAATATTTCTGACTTGAAGTCTATACCTCCTGACTGCACCTGTGCTGGTTCCCCATTCATTTATAATCCGACTGGCCATGTTACTACTGGTGACCTAAACATTGTCTTTAACACTTCTCTGAGAAAAGTGTTATCCGAAAGCTCGAAATATCACGAACCTAAATTCATCAGTTGGAACACAACTTCAAAATACTGATGGATTCAGTCGAAGACTATGCCAGGTAATCGGTTAAACGCGAGAAAGAAGACGTATCTATACTCTTTCCGAATGGATTAAGGCTGCGAGGTCGTTGGTACAAATCAGAATTAAAAAAAACTGAACGGGACTATAAATACCCGTGCTATATCAATCTTTAAAAACCCAAATGTTGCAAAACACCTGTCCAACCTCCATGACAAATATGTTATTGTCCCCGCAGATAAACCCCAAACAGCATCGTTTTTGTGTGTAAATCACATCACGTAAACTGCTTGATAAATGAATTAGGTATTGACAATTCACTTGGAAACTCAACATATACCCCCACGACACTTTCCAAGTTGAAAATCCTGGATAATCATAGGTCTGTTCTATTTTTCTTTTGAATTTCAAACAAAGATGAAGAACTGGATCTTTCTTCACTGTTTTGGATACCTAAATTACATAAGTGTCTTTACAAACAACGTTATATTGCTTTGTCTTCCAAGTGCTCTACGTAACCTCTTTCTAAATTATTAACATTAATTTTATCAGCAATCAAAGCCGGGTTTCAAAGTTATTGTGAAACTACCTATTCTAGAGGTGGCGTGAATCAGATGTGGATGCTAAAAGATGCTTGATTTCTTGATTGACAACATATTTGTTATGTTTGGAGGACGTGTTTTTCAACGAACAATCGGCATTTCCAGGGGAACCAACTCCTCTTCTTGCCGACTTGTTTCTTTATTCATATGAGGCAGGTTTTATACAGGAGCTTCTTAGGAAGAAAGAAAAGAAGTTAGCATTATCCTTTAACTTCACTTTCTGCTATATAGATGATGTTCTCTCACTGAAAATTTCAATTAAAAGTTTGGTGACTATGTTGAACGCATCTATCCAATCGAATTTGAGATAAAGGATCCAACAGATACAGTTAAGTCTGCCTCAAATCTCGACTGACATCTAGAAATTGACAATAAGGCTAGGGTCGGTTGAAACAAAACTTTACGAGAATAAAGATGATTTCACCTTCGTGAACTTTCTATTTCTATGTAGCAAAATTTTAGCAGCGCATGCATATGGAGTATATATCTCCCAGTTTATACAATTTTTAGGGGCTTGCATTTCCTATCATGATTTCCTTGACAGAGGGTTGCTGCTCACAAGGAAGCTATTGCAACAAGAGTTCTAAGTGGTAAAGTTAAAATCTACCCTTCGTGAATTTTACGGACGCCATCACGAGTTAGTAGAGTTAGTAGAGCGTTATTGAATATCTGTTTCACAGATGACGACGGAAATGCTCCATTTGTCGTAACCTCACTTCCGTTCTCTTTTCCCCCAATGTGACCTACCAAATTAGACTTATCAACAAGTTTGTACTTGCATGAGCAACACGACGGGTGCCACATGTGGAGCAGGATCTGTTTATCCCTCCGGAGCACCTGAGGTCACCCCCAGTGTTTTGTTGGGGTTCGTGTTGCTCAGGGTGGTTTGTGTTTTGTGTATTGTCGTTTGTCTTTTGGTCTTTTTCTTTTTTTGCAATGGCGTTGTCAGTTTATTTTCGACTTATGAGTTTGAACCTGGGACAGTGGTGTAACAGCACGACAAAAGAGCAAACGATAAGAATCAGTTGAAAAAGGCTCCACTCATCGGTTCGATGCTATGCAAAATAAACAGTTACAATTAACAAATAAACTTGTTCGATAACACTATAGAACATAAACGGCAACAATTTAACTGCACCAAATGCGTACTTAGACAACAATGACCAATTTTTCAAAATGAAGAATTTTTACATTCATGAAGAAGTATTGTTTAGATTTTAGAGTTCCTGAATAAAAGGGGAATACATCACAAATAATTATGTACTTTGCTTAGCAACATTCCAACAGCACCTGCATACCGGGTATATATCTCCCAGTTGAGTTGCTGCTCACAAGGAAGCTATTTAGCCAAGAGTTCCAAGTGGTGAAGTTGAAATCGTCCCTTCGTAAATTTTACGGACGCCATCACGAGTTGGTTGACCGGTATGGAATATTCGTTTCACAGATGACAACGGATATGTTCCAATTGTCGTAACTGCAATCCCGTCCCTTTTTCCCGAATGTGACCTACCGAATTAGACTGATCACCGGGTTTGTACTTACATGAGCAACACGACGGGTGCCATATGTGAAGCAGGAACTGCTTACACTTCCGGAGCATCAAACGAACACACGAACAAACAAGTACTGTAACTTCTGGTGGAGTTATAAGTAACAACCTTCAATTACAAGTTGTTTTCTTTATAGTTTGCCTTAGATTGCGATTCATCCCCTTTGCTACACAAGTCAGGATCAACATAATTATTCAGACATACAAATATATGAAAATAACAATAAAGTTCTTAACGTGTTTTGCATTTATTGATGGTTCATGTACCACAATTAACATATAACTAAACTAACAATTTATAACTTTTGGATTTTTCAAATAATTTACGAGAATAAAGAAATTTTTCATTACACTCCATTTTTAAACAATTAATACAAACGATTTTTTAAAATTCTATTTTACTATTTGGCAGTGAATATGATATTTTTCATCAAATGATTGTCCACCATATCTCCTACACGAATCCATATAGTTCTGCTGTCTCATTCTGGATACACCTCTTTTACTTATATCTACAGCTCTGCCTTTATAATGCCAAGAAGTAATTTTGCTGTGGCATGCACCAGCAATTTCATTCACCTTCAAAGGAAACGTTTACCATTTATTCATGAACTGTAAATATATTTTAAATCGGAATAATTTAAAGTCATACTTGGTTATGAGAACATATATAAGTTCGTTCAAATTAAACCAAACATCATGAAAATGTTAGAAATGCTTTTCACCTTAAAGCTTGTGAAACTGTTAATTGTTATATATATATATATATATATTTATTCAAGATAAAAGGCATGAATTTGACAGATACAATATATTACAAAGACACAGATATAGCACTAGACATAGTTTATAGACACTAAAATGATTTACATGTTTACTAAAAATTTTAATTTAAAAAAATAAAATTATGAAAATTTTCATGGTATTTTGATAATATGATTAGACTAGATTAAATAATGAGTGAAATTTAAATTGACTAGATTTTCACTGTAGCATAATATCTTAGGATGACCCACAAAAGTTATTAAAACTTATTTCCAGTGGGGTCCTTTTATGACGATACTTCCAGTTTACACCAAGGGTTGACACATAGGAAATACAAACACAAATCATTTAGAATTTATCACAGATAAATGGTCAAAGCCCAAGTATAATTAATAAAAAAACAAATTCACTATCAAAGATTGATTTAAATTTATCCATCAAAAACTTTTTCACTTGTACTTTAAAATTATATTTTTTAGAGCACTTTTTAATCATGTCTGGTAACGAATTCCAGTCTTTTATTCCATTATAAAAGAAAGTGGTGGATTCATACCCTTTAATTCCTGGTATATAAAAGTTTTTACTACTAGATCTTGTATTGAAAGCTGTTTCATTTCTAACAAAATTAGTATGTAAATAATTTGGGCATATATTGTTAAAAATGGTGAAAACATGATTGAGTCTTAGTTATTTGACTCTATTACTAATATTTAAAAAGCCCAATTTCTTAAAAATATAATATATGTCACACTCTTTCTGGGATGTAATTGCAGAATAAATCTCACAATCTTATTTTGTGCCACTTGAAGTTTATTCTTCATTTGTTTTGATATACCTTCATACCAGCATGCACATGCATAGTCAAAATGACATTGAATCAGAGAAGAGCACAATGTTTTCCTAGATTGAAAATTTAGACACTCTTTGTTTCTATATAAAAATTTAAGCCTTTGATTGACTTTTTTCACTATAGAGTTGACAATAAAATCACCAGTTAGAAACTGATCAATTATTATTCCCAAATATTTTACAAAAGTTTTGGATTCAATATTAATACCATTACAGGAGATAGCAAAATCACCTGGTATTAAAGACCGAAGTTTTCGACCAGGACCAAAAATTATACTCTCCGTCTTTCCCAAATGTAGGGACAATTTATTGTCAGTTAACCACTCATGGCATGATTCCAGCATTCTGGATAATTTATGAGAGATGGCCCTAGGGTCTATATGGAAAAATAAAATTGCAGTATCATCTGCATATATCAAAACTTTACAATCTGAGTCGATGCTAGTTTGAACATCATTGACATAGATCAAAAACAATAGTGGACCCAGGCCAGAAAGCTACCTTGAGGGACACCACATGTAATATTACATACTTCTGAAATCACCCCATTTATATTTACAACCTGTTTTCTGTTTGTCAAATATGACTCAAACCAAGGTATAGATCTACCCCAATTACTTCTAATTTGTCACATAATATCTTGTGATCTACTGTCTCAAATGCCTTCTATAGGTCTAATAGGACTATGCCTGTAAAAAGACCTTTGGCTGTTTGAGTTTTAATGTGATCTATCAAGTGAATGAGACAAGAATCAGTTGAATATGAACTTCTAAATCCTGATTGAAACTCAAATAATAAATTATTTGAAATCAAAAATTTTTCAAGTTGCTAATAGGCAGCTTTTTCTAGAATTTTAGAAACAATACTTAAAATGCTAACAGGCCTGTAATTTTCAGGCTTAAGTCTGTCATTTTTCTTAAATAGGTGCTTGACCTTAGCCATTTTCAGATCGTCAGGTACCGTACCTTCAGAGATAGATAAATTTATCAAGAAAGTAATGGGTATTTTCAGAATTGGGGCTGCATCCTTAAGAAACCTTGCTGGAATACCATCTAGGCCCATGCTCTTACTTATATTTAAACTGCATAGTTCTTTATACACAAATTCCTCTGTTACATGCTTTAGGTTAAAAAAAATATCTGATTTCCTTCTCTGAACATAAAAGGATCTAACAATATTTGTAGTGGCACTATATAAACCCTTTGCAGTTGGTAGTTTTTCTACCAGTTTTGCAGCTATGGTTGTAAAAAACATGTTAAAATTATTTGATATTTTTTTGTTATCGTGACAGTTTTGCCCATCAATATTTAATACTATATTAGGATTTGATTTAGGATCTTTTTGATATCCTAAATTTTTAAAACTTTTCCAAAGTTGTTTTGGGTTATTTCTATTTTCTTCAATTTCACTGCTGTAATAGTCTTAGATTGCAATTAATTAACTGTTAATTAAAAAGTGTGGGTTTTTTTTTTGCTGTTGTTCATAGATATAATGATCTTACCACATATATACACTTCTAGGAATATCATTGGTTAAAATCGAACACGTGGAAACCGTGTATGTTTGATATTAGGTCAGTGGGCGTGTTTCAATTTTAATACACGGTCAGTGGGCGTGGTTGATTTTAAATACACAGTTTGTAGTAACTCGAATAATTTTGCCCCCTTTAGCGGCGTATAGCCTGTCGTGTTATTATCTTATAAATAGATATAAGAAAATGTGGTATGAGTGCCAATGAGACAACCCTCCATCCAAGTCAAAATTTATAAGAGTAAACCATTATAGGTCAAAGTACGGTCTTCAACACGGAGTCTTGGCTCACACCGAACAGCAAGCTATAAAGGGCCCCAAAAATTACTAATGTAAAACCATCCAAACGGGAAAACCAAATGGCTGTAAAGATATCCCGAAACGGAATTTTTTCAACCTATGTTTATTCATAGGTGCTGTGACGTTGACCTTTGACCAACTTACCCAAAACATTGATATGGTTTTTGGTCTTTTCAAAAAATATTTTAAGCTAAGTGGGAAGACGGTTGGTCGTATGGTTCAAAAGAAATCATCTGGAAACCAAAATGATGTACCATTTTTATTCTCTCTAGTTGCTCTGATCTTTCACTTCAACCTAGTGTTCCGGCCCAAAAAAGATAGGGATCTTTAAAGCCCCAAAGCGCATTGCACATCAAAAGATTGGCATGATATTTATGATAATTTGCAAAATATTTATGCGTCAAGGTAAGGGGAGGGCTGAGCGATCACAAACATGTGTAATCCCGTCCCATGTTTTATGTGTCTGTCCCGAGTCGGGAGCCTCTAATTCAGCGGTTGTCGATAGTTCAAATCTGTCATATTTGTTTTTTTTGGTAAACTTTTTCACAATTTTTCATGTCGGGGCCTTTTTGGCTGACTATACGGTATTGGTTTTTCTCATTGCTAAAGGCTGTACGGTGGCCCCCATAATTGCTTATATCCATCTGGAAAGTTGTTTCATTAGCAATCATACCACATCTCCTTATTTTTATACGGACTAAAATTGGTGCCCTAAGAGACACATGGCGCTAATGGGAGTTGGTGAGAGAAGCAGAATTAATTCAAAGAGACACTGCCGCAATTATTTATTTTTAAGAGTTCGTTGTATAGACTTAGTATATATTCCTCGTTGACCAGTGGGTTAGTTTTGAAAAGGTAGGGCCAATTTCCCCTGTATTTATTTCACTCTCAAAACCAAATCTAAAAGTGCCTAACACTACTTGAAATTGAATATTTTTTTTATTACATCAAAGACTTCATATCATTTGTTAACAATATGACATATTTCATAAACTCAAAATATTTTCCATGGCTAGATGTTCCTGTTGAAGGCATTTTGATACAAAAATTGCAAATTTTACATGTTTTTATAAAACATTGTATTGAAGGACATCGATAACAAAAATGAATTAATTGTATCAGAAAGCCAATACATAGCTTTACTTCCAACAGAAATTTAGACTTGATTAACGATGTACTTCTTTTACACTTTTTGAAGAAATACTAAAAGTTTTCCCAAATCTGTCAAAATAGCGGCTTTGTGCTACCTTCAGGCGTTTATAATTTGGTTACATATAAAAAAAATTAGCCAAATGATATTATAAAAACATTAAAGCACATGCATAGAGCTATAATACAATAAATACTGTAGAGATTGACAAACTTTTTGAAAACGACCTGGTGTGAAATATATTCAGTAGAAATTGACCATTATATGATACATCTTTGCCTTAACTCGTCCTTTGATGTCAATAGATAGAGAATATCATATGGCTTCTCCAATATCGCACTCGTATCAACCCGAGACACCAATACAATCCAAAGAGCTCTGCTCGAGGGATTATATTGGTTGAGGGTTGATATGGTGTGAGATATTGAAAAGCCATATCATATACACTTTATTATATACTCCTGGTAGATGTTTTTCACGTGACATAACGTAATACAGATTAGGAGTTTGATAAAGCCGTTGCAACCGTGACTGATATCGATAACGTGACGTCATAAATGATGTTCTCTCACTAAATAATACAAAATTTGGTGACTATGTTGAACGAATCTATCCCATCGAACTAGAGATAAAGGATACTACAGATACAGTTAAGTCTGCCTCATATCTTGACTTACATCTAGAAATTGACAATGAGGGTCGGTTGAAAACAAAACTTTACGACAAAAGAGATGATTTCAGCTTCCCAATTGTGAACTTTCCATTTCTATGTAGCAACATTCCAGCAGCGCCTGCATACGGAGTATATATCTCCCAATTGATACGATATTCCCGGGCTTGTGTTTCCTATCATGATTTCCTTGATAGAGGATTGCTGCTCACAAGTAAGCTATTAAACCAAGAGTTCCAAATGGTGAAGTTGAAGTCACCCCTTCGTAAATTTTACGGACGCCATCACGAGTTGGTTGACCGTTATGGAATAACCGTTTCACAGATGATATCGGATATGTTCCTTATGTCGTAACTACAATACCCTCCCTTTTCATGAATGTGACTTACCGAATTAGACTATTTACCGGATTTGTAATAACATAAGCAACACGACGGGTGCCACATGTGGAGCAGGATCTGCTTACCCTTCCGGAGCACCTGAGATCACCCCCAGTCTTTGGTAGGGTTCGTGTTGCTTAGTCTTTGGTTTTCTATGTTGTGTCATCTGTACTATTATTTGTCTGTTTGTCTTTTTATTTTTGGCCATGGCGTTGTCAGTTTGTTTTCGATCTATGAGTTTGACTGTCCCTCTGGTATCTTTCGTCCCTCTTTTAAGGGTGTGATAAAGCCTTTGCAACCGTGACTGATATCGATTGCCAATGATCATATTACACATACAATTTATCTGTATTTACTACTTACTAAGTATATAATAAACCAATTAGTCCTGATTATAAAGGAGACTTACAATTGATATCATATATGAAGAAAAATAATGGACTGAAGTATTGAAAAGTCTTAAAAGTAAAGCATTATAAGTGATGATACATAAGATGAGTATACGATCCAGAAAATTCCAAAATGAATTTGGCTGTGTCTGACAGAAGTGTCCTCGGTAAAATGCCAAGTCCTGTTTATGAGGTTAACCTTAACCCTAATGTAAGACCTACCAGGCTAGACACTCTCTACACATAACCCAGATTATATATGATGTCTTAATGTAAAGATGCTGAATAGCTCTTAGTCATTTAGATCTCTGGGACAATCAAGGCAAATCAATTTGGAAAGAAAAATATGACCTTTTGCAGGAATGAACGAAAATGGCAGGTTTTTAAACTGAATCAAAATAAAGTAAAGCAGAAGGAGTTTGTTTCTTGTTCTAGCGATGTACACACAGATAACAAAACCCACTACTTGAGCTTTCACGGTGGTTTAAACGTCACCAAACATTTAATAAACATGACTAGTGGTGATTGGAGCGAATCCTAAGTATTCTTATGTCTTTAGTTCATTGAAAACATATGTATATGACATTTTGATATGTATTTGTAACTGTTTAAAATGTATTGAAAGAGTTGAAAAAGCCTTATTTGAACTGAAAAGATCATGTAATGGCAGGCAAAAATACATTTTGTTTTTGGAAGAACATATAGGTGAAAGATAATATTCCACAGTGCATGACAAATCGTCTTGAGGTGGTGCCATCATATGTCAAATAAAAAAAGACACATGTCAAAAGGATAAAAAAAGGTTCTATTCCGGGCTTGAAAAGGCCCCCAAAAAATCCGGAACTTGTTCTTTAGGTCAAAGGTCAAGGTCACATGAAGATGAGGATGATATGCGTCACACCGTTTTGCGGCAATATCCGTTCATGCCAAATATCATAAGCCAAATTCAAAAGATAAAAAAGTCATGGTCAGGACGCTTAATTTGTAAGAAAGCAATGAAAAGGGGATGGTAAAATTTATGAGGGCAAATTTTGATTTTTTTTTCCTAACTGTATACTGCTACCTTATGGCTTACAGAATTCCATTATTAAAATCTATTCATACCACAAATGTATTGATTTTTAGATTCTAAATCAATTTCTGAGGGAATTAAAGTGTTTTAGAATGACAATACATGTCAATTTTATTATTAATTGTCCTTAGCAACAAAAGATATACATTTTGACACAAAGCTTATATTTGTACTATATTGGCTTAAACTTCGCTACCGAAGGATTGCGCTGTATGTAATACCCTTAGTATTAAACGCTTTGTATTTTTTCATGCGAAAACAACAAATTATTATTTCTAGCAAGGTGTCATGTTACGTTTTGGCATAAACTAAATGTATAGTTGTTTTTGCTGTTAGAAATTGATTCCCTCTTGCCAAGTTCCTTAATCAAACATTTGGTATGCAATAGACATTAAAAAAAATACATTTTTGTGCTTTATATTGCTTAATTTTGTACAATTTTGCATCTTATTAAAATTTCCAATATTAGAAAAAAGAAACAAGAGGTAAATTTTTTAAAAACTAACTAAATATTGAGGCAGATATGAGCGTTTACACTTTGACTTGGCACTTTTCTTTAAATCAGTTTTTATGGCATTTCAGTGTCAACTGCTATCCTTTATAAAATACTTATTACTCAACCAATTTTGAAAAAGGCCATTTTACCCGTTTTAGCTCTCAAAACACAGATAATTGATCAAAAGGAGGAATTTGAAGGAAAAAAAATTACTATTAAGGTAGCAATACACAGTTGCGAGTGTAGTTCCTCTTTTTGGCCCCGGTGGATTTTTAAAATATGAAAGTTATTGTGCAATAAAATTAGTTTTTATACAGCTGATGACTAATTAAGCTTTCAAAGTGGGTTTATAGGAACATCAAAATTAGTTTACATGTTATATTGACTATTTTCTGGCTGACTGTCTGTATTTTTATATACAGCCCGGCCATTGGTCCTGAAATTATTGTAATATTTATAATTACAAACATTTTATTTCACACGAACTTTTTGACACGATTTTACGAAAAAATTAGACGAAAGACATATAATTTTTATTTGATCTGATGATAGATTTATGGTACCAGTTTTTAAAAAGGTATCATTTTAAGGGATTGAAATATTTTACTTTTGGCCAAAACTTGGGGAGATATATGACATCTTCGCACCCCTTTTTGCAATATTTTACAACAAATAAATACAGATTGTTGCCATGGATACATCAAAAAGAAATTATATTTAACTATTTGAACTACCGGAAATCAAATCTACGGAAGATACTGATGCACACTTATGACACAAACAGTAAGCTTAATTTGTAAGAAAGCAAAGAAAAAGGGATGGTAAAACTTATGAGGGCAAATTTTTTTTTTTACTGACTTTATATATTGCTACCTAAAGCATGGTTGATGCAGTCGAAAACTAAATGTGACCGTGCGTTTTATGATTTTTTCTTGTATAAAATACATGATTGGTGTTCATGTAAATAAGAAATAGAACACTAATATGCTTGCCAGGAAACAGTCTACTTTGTTTTCATGAACATTAAATACTTATTTTTACTTAAATATTAGCCTTTGAATATAAATATTTGGACGTTTAATCTATTTGCCATTATTCACTACGCAGCAAAGTCCCGAATCAACTGTACGGCTTTTATTCCCTGTGGTAATTCTCATTTTAAAGTAGGTCGGTACATACTTGACGTAAGAGGCCCCGAAATGTAAAACGATTCAAACGAGAAAAACTAACGGCCTGATTTATAAACAAATTAATGAACGACAAACAAATATGATATACAGCAACAAACGACAACCACCGAATTACAGGCTCCTGACTCGGGACAGGCACGTACAGAATGCGACGGGATTAAACTAGTTTGAAGGTGCACCAACACTCCCCCTAACCTGGGACAGTTGTGTAACAGTACGACATAAGAATACACTATAAAAACAGATTGTAGAGCCAAGAATGTTCATAAAAAATAATATTTAGTTTGATCTTAATTTACTGATAACAAAATTAATATTAATACCAATAAAAACAATATTCAAAGATCTAGGTTATAGTGTTGAATTGGTAACCTTTAAGAATAAGTTTATTTAAAGTGTCGAAAAGTTTATCCGGATCACATCTAAATAGCGAACAAATTGTGATATATAAACACCGTAAGATGGTGCCAAAGGAACATCACCGTCCAAAAAAGGAAAATTAACAATGGGGAACGAACAATCGTCCCTTTTGTCGTAAATTTTAGTGTAGAGTTTCCCGTGTAAAATTGAAATATCCAGATCTAGGAAAAGACAGTTATTACCGTTTATATTTGGTTCATTTAAAGTAAGTTTCTTTGTGTAAATTTCGGCAGTATATTTAGAAAATTGATTAGTTAACGAATATCTTAATCCATATTCGATGAATCTATTTGTAAACAATATCTTAAAACAAATCTTAGATTTATAGACTTGTACAACAAATGCATTTATATATATAAACATCTTAAACTCTTGAACCTTGAGCTAATCAATGCATAAAACGATTTGTTAAATCAATCTGCCATAACTTAGTCAAGTTTATACTAGTATATACCTTTTGTTACTGTTCCTAGGCATTTTAGGTTTTTTTTTGTGAATTTATCTATGCTCTCTTATCTCATTAATGTTTAAAATGACTTGAACTGTGAGCTATGCTCACTTATGTTATCCCCGCAATTTGTATTCGGTAAACAGGAATTCAATGAGTAGCTAATGTAAAAAAAAAAAGCATCACATGCATGGTATAGCATGCTCACATGAAGCTTGATGATAAATTTTAAAAACCTTTGTTTTATAGATCTTGATGAAAATGCGACAAAACTTTCATATATAGCCATTATGTGTAAGAATATTGAAGAATTCGGTAAACAGGAAGTTGAAGGGCGATGAATCTGAAATCCATAGTATAGCAATGTCCCATAACGCTTGATACCAAATTTAAAGAAGCTCTGATGTGCATTTCCTGTAAAAAGAGAGATTAAAATTTTATGGAAAACACAGACAAACGTAAACCAGTATATCCACTTCTTTAGAGCGGAAGTATAATCATTCGTTAAAAGACGTATTTGTGTTTGTGTTGTTGAAAAGCTGAGTCAATGGACGTTTATCCAATATTTTCTTTTGTTTGATACTCACTTTAACATTTCCTCTGCTACCTATGTTGTAAATATATCTTAGCAGAATTGGATTTAGGCAGACAGAGTCACCAGGCGCCCAATGTCCATTTTTACAATCATAGCTACAAAAGCAAACACATTTTAACTCATTTTTGGCTTTCTTCTTCAAACTTATACGCATAATTTGAAAACGTATATAACAAAATAAATCATATAACTGTGATTGATATTATCCATGTATATTACTTCGATTTGTATGATCTGAAAAGCGGTTTGTAGGACGACGCAATGGAAAAAAAGGGATATGGTGTATTACTTCATCACACAAATTTGACAAAATCAAAAGCAAAGGAACACTACTTGTATTGCTGTTCTTCATATCTAAATCAAGGTATTCAAAATCGAGCAAAATCTCACAACTTACTAGAAGTTTCAGACGGTCCCTACGTTTGAAATCCGTTGATTGATGTTGATCACACTACTCCTGTGATTGAAGAACAAGATGAGTGGTGATATCAACAAAAACAAACAACAACGAGTAACGGAATGGAACGAATCAAACAAATTTCAAATAATTTGTCCGACAATATCATTATAGAAAAACCAAAACACGAACATTTAATCAACAACGGTACAGATCAACATATTTGTTATATAACTTGGCGAGATATAATGTATGAATATGGTAAATAATTCAATTGAACTGCAGATTTTTTCGGTAATCCAACAGATCGGAGAAGAAAGTGAGATACGACACATAACAGGGTGGATATCCAGTTGATATTAAACAAAAGAAATACACATCTCGATCACAGAAGGTAAATATGGCCAAGTTTGTATATTTCGATTGTTTTCTATGGCCTTTAAAATTATTAATGTAGGTGTATAAGTAAAGATTGTTTGCATCTTATATACTTATTTATACTCAAATTATAGTATGGAGCTACGAGATATTTTTTTTTCAATTAAAAAGAAACGATGGTAAGTTCAAAGACTGCATTAATTTCACTGAAAAAATCAAAAGAAAGATAATAAATTGACCTTTTGATTAAAATCATAAAAATGGGCAATAATCTTATCGCAAATAGAAAGTCGGATACATCTTTACGTTCAGATGTGTTTTAGTTGACTGTTTTGTTCAAAAACCGTATAAAAAAAACCAAATATTATCATATGAATTATCATCTCGTTTCAGATTCCATTATTTTTACATATTAAAGTGACATTGGCTACGAGATATAAAAAATTTTTTTTTTTTTTTGGTGCAATCATTAATGAAAGTGGAATAATAATTCGTTTTGAGCATCCAATTTGGTTAAGTTTTGTCAAAATAAGACGAGAAACATCGTTGATGAATTATTCACTTGCAAGTGAATAATTCGACCTCATTGAATCCGTATTGATATGACCTTCAATTTAACCCCTTAATTGGAGATGGGTTACGCATGTATTCAGCTATTAAAAGGAAAAGAATGTCAACATTGAAAGTGAAACAAGGATGAACCATTTGGTTGACTGATTCAATCTACAAAAAAATCATTCTTATACAGGTAAAAACGATGGTAAACATACTTTTTAACAACCAATATGAAATAAAACAGACCTAGAAAAATCCAATTACACGTGGTCGCTATCTATTTATATTTATGGTTATATAGGATTATATGACCGTCGACAGTCTTCGGAGGTCATCTCGATGGTAATTTGATGACATCTAGACAAAAATACACACAAAAGTTCGATACATATTATCAAGTCCATGCATTGTTAATTGTTTATTTTATGCTTTTTGTAATTTGGATATACGTTTTAGTATGTTATAAATCAAATATTAGAATTTGAGTCAAATCGGTGAACACGAATTGGACAGCTAATGCCCCTTTAACTTGAAGGCTACATATTGATACAAAAACATAAAATATTCACAGCACTTAATATCAAACTGAATGGGCAAGTAAAATAAGTGCGTAATGAGTCATCACAACAGAGTAGGCGTGTTTCAATAACAAAACAAACAAAAAAACAAAAAAAGGTTAAAATTTAAGTGTATTTCTTACTTGTATTTTTTTTCTTTTATTTTCCATTAATTTTTAAGTCAAGATTTGGGCGTATTAATTATTTTTTCATGAAAATGTACTAGAAAAAGAAAATTCGGGTACATCGTTAACGTGCACACCATTAATTTTTTGTCAGAAACCCTTGACGACAGACTTTACTTTTGGCTCTTAAAAAGGTATAACTTTGAAAAAAATCCTTTTGTGCATGTTGTAAAGGGTCAGTAATCTTCGATCTTTGCAGATTTTTATATAAAAGGTATGATTGTCAATTATACAACTATCTACCAGAGTTCAAATGACGAAAATATAACCAGTTTTGGTTACTGTACGGCCTACAACTTTGAGAAAAACCAATACCGTATAGTCAGATATAAGAGTACTCGCAGTTACTGAAAGCTAGTTCATACTTAAAGCTAGTTCAAAGCCAAATACAATTGTTGAATAATCCATGTTCTTCCACAAATTAAGTATTAATAAGTACACTTCCAACGGATTTAGTGTAAAGACGTCATAAACAGTCTGATAAATGCATGACCTTGTACAATGTCAAAATAGAAGTAAACAGCACTGACAAGATGTAAGATCATGAGTTTTCATAACTGTAAATATATATATATATATTTAGTTATGTTTTAATTTTTCAAAAACAAAATCAATGTTAAAAGAGAGGCGAAGGATACCAAAGGGACATTCAAACTCACAAGTCGAAAATAAACTGACTAATATCGAAAAAAACAATATTTGAAAGATTTTGCTATGGTGTTAAATTGATAACCTTTAAAAATATGTTTATTTAAATCAGTGAATTTTTCATGGATCGTATCTAAATTTACGGGCTAAATATTATAGTTTAAAAAACACCACCGTAAAAAATTAGGATGTGATATCCCGTTTTTGATAATAATTCTACAGCCAATCTTAACCAAATCTTTGTATCTATGTAAGATTTCTTCCCTTTCACAAAATAGTCAAATATATTTTTTTAGTGATGAACCTTCGGAAATTTCCCTGACAACCAATCAGACAATAATTTTAACTTGACAAAAGGCCAAAAGCATATAAATGATGCTTATTAGCTAGAAGAAAATTTGATGGTTAAGAATAAGTAATAAAGATAGAAAGAAGGATTTTAAATTTGAGGTATTTGGATAATAACAACAACGAAGAAAAATTAGAAGACTTAAGAAATTCAATGTACATGCAAGGGATTTTCATCCCCATCAATGAAACCCCACTACTTACGATGATCTTTTAGCTTTTCCCCCATTGCATGAGTCTTCGATATTATTTATAGCAAAAGCATTATCTTGCACTTTAGATGGATGACCAGACGCCAGTTTTATTGTTCCTCTTGTGTGTAGCCTTGAAATTTTGCAAGCAAGTTCTTTAACTTCAGTTCCGCATTCATCTGAATGAAACACAAAAGATTATTTTTATTGTTCTTTGTTTTTTTTTTTTTTTATCATTTTATATAGTTGAGCTCCGAGATTCTGATTTCGATAGTAGGTTCGGAATCACCACGGTCGGTGGAATTGAACGTTTACATTACTGTAACTGGGTTGATTGTTAAATCCAGTATTTTTATCCATTTAATAGCAATATTTTGTCCGAAAACTATGTAAATGTCATTTTGACATCACAAGTAATCGTTTTGCACAAAAATATCTAGATTATAATAGTAACCTATAATAACCTTTCAAATTATCAATGAAATTAATATAATTTTGAAAGTCTTGAACAATTATACTATTTATACATTTTCAGATGCCATATTATGGCTTTTATCATATCTCCTCTTTTAGATTTATTAATCGTTGTATTGTTATTTATCAAAAACATCAAAAAAAGATTGAAGACTATTTTTTTTTTCTTTTCTCATCGGATATATTTTCATTTTTTATGTTATCGTTTGTTTTCATGTGACTTCTTTTTTAAACCGTTCTCACACACATAATACTATTAAATGCACAAAAAATAACAAAGTATAGCAATGATACACAGTTCACTATAACATTTAAGAATAACATATGGAGAAAGATAGACAGGCCATTGATTCGTACGATAATCCAATGCAGTGAAAAAATATCTTTAACTTACTTGGACACGATTGCAATTTGTAGCAAGTACTCTTGGTATATTTGTTGATGTAGCTGAAATATGAAAGCACTATATTCGCTGTTTACAAAAATAATGCAAGCTTACGTTTTTGGTTTGCACAATACGAATACAAAGTTATATTCCCGATGTTACCAATTGTGCTTCTTTATAAGTCGGATTGTTTTTGCACTCATATTTAACAGAATCAATAAAAAAAAAAGATCATTAAACACAACAAGAATATATCCAACATACTCATCTAGTTTTGATTTCAGATATATAGTTAATTATGTCATTTTGCTTTCCTTTCCCAGTGATTGATGACATTGCATGTCTCTGTATGAACTTGAAATGAAAAATACTACGGTGGGAAAAAGACCCTTTTCGTATCTAGATCGTTTTCTTGGAATTTGCACTGCAGTAAAAAATAAATACACTATGTTCTATGACAAACTCATAAGTTCATTTTCCTACTGTCAACTTCTGATTCTTATATTGTAAATTACTTTCTATCAAAGCCATCTGTTTCTATATATATATCCGATAGAACTATATTCCAGCGCTTATTTCAATTATTGCAATGTCACTATCTGATTATATTCTTACATAAAGGCAGTTAAAAAATGTAATAAGGAAGAACACTCATATTATTACGTCACAAGGTTTAACGTTGCCATTACAAGATGAATGATAGTTACATGGTTAATTCTCAACAAATTTTTGAAATTATCGCTGTTTAATATCTCACATATCCCCTATGCTGATGAAACGGGGACTTCAATCTTTTTGGAACTAATGACCAGATACCTTTTTCTTCACATACATTTAAATTTCAAAATGCAAATCTTTTTTTTTATTTTGGTGACTAAAGCATATGTAGTATTATCTCAATCTGGCATGGAAGTGCAACTGGATAAATTAAACAGGGAATGCAATTTGAAAAAAAATATTAAAATAAATACAATTTGGACACATGAAGAACTGCTTTTCCTTCCAAAGCACCCTCTTTTTTGTTTTAAACGGGTTTGTGTTTTCTTTTCAGTTTAAGTTTTCAGTGTTGTATTTATGTGCTAGTTTATCATTTAATTTGTCATCGAAAACATGTATTTATTTCAAACTTTCGGTCATGTTAAGGGTTAAATCATTAAGATGCATCAAAGGCTTTTGATTGATCGTTGGTTATTTGGTGTTGTCGTATGGTTAGGCGAAAGAAATTTACCGAACTGCTTTTGTATAATTTTTGTATAGAGGCCGAATATTTGAAAATAAAAAATCTATTTAAAACGTTGAAGAGCTGATCAAACCAAAAAGGATCTAAAGTATAGCCTAATTCGGACAAGTCAAACAGAACTTTGCATGATCGAGATATATTCCTTCATTTTAGATCGATTCCAAATTTATAACAGCAAATTCTAATGTAACATTATCTATATGCGCATGCCAGTACCGAGGTACTTACCAACGTAGTTGTTCTGGGGTAACAGGGCGGTGTCATTGATGGAGTAGGAGTCGATGATTCTTCTGTATGACCTGAATCCACCCTAGGTTTTTGTTTGTATCCTTGTGTAGTGTTTTATGGACTATTGGTTTGTTCGTCTTTTTTGTTTTCTCAAGACTGATGTTGACTTTGACTGATAGGTTTTCATTGTCACCTTGGTATCTTCTCATTTTTTCATTAATGATATTTGACATTTATCAATAAGTAACAATATCCCTACAAGCGATGAATAGTACGAACAGTTTTTGATGTGTTCCTTGATTTGAAATTTACTATTTGATATTTTTTAATCGTATGACAAATGCAAGTCTAGCAAAAAAGTAAAAAAGATTAAAATCATCGCTGAGGTGTTATTGACTTGCAAGTGAATAATTTAACCTCATTTGAATTCGTATTCATGTGACCTTCAATTTAACCCCTTAGCTGGAGATGGGTTACGAATGTACTAGGCGTGTTCAGTTATGAAAAAGAAAAGAATGTCAACATAGAAAGAGAAACAAGGGTGAACCGTTTCGTTGACTGATGCGATCCACAAAGGAATGATTCTTATACAGATAAAACGATGATTAGCATATTCTTTTAACCAATACCATGAAATCAAACAGACCTAGAAAAATCAAATTGCACGTGCTCGCTATCTTTTTATATCGATGTTTATGTTTATATCGGATTATATGACTGTCGGTAGTCCTTAGGGGTCATATCAATGGTTAATTGATGGCGTCTACACTAAAATACACACGAAATGCTGATACATATTATCGAGTCCATGCATTGTTTATTGTTTATTCTCGATTTTTTGTAATTTGGATATACGTTTTAGTATGTTATAAATTAAATGTCAAAATTTGAATCAAATCGGTGAAGCTAAATTTGACAGCTAATGTCCCTTTGTTTAAAAGATTCTTAATATTCTGATTTTGTCCCAACATATCCATAACATTTTGATTTTTTTGTAACATTATAGATATGTCTTAACAGATCATAGAAAGAGAAGCGAAAGATACCAAAGGAATATTCAAATGTATTATTCGAAAAAACTGACAATTTAATGGCAAAAATACGAAAAACGACAAAAAGACAAACATCAGTACACAAAACACAACATAGAAAACTAAAGACTAAATAAACACGAACCCAACAAAAAACGATGGTGATCTCAAGTGCTTTGGAAGGGTTAGCAGATATCCTGCTCGACATGTGGCACCCGTCGTGTTGCAAGTACCCGGTGACAAGTCTACTTCGGTAGGTTACATTCGAGGAAAAAAGAACAAGATTATGGTTACGACATTTGAAACATCGTCATCTGCGAAACGAAACAGGTATTCCGTAACGGTCAACCAACTCGTGATTGCGTCCGTAAAATTTTCGATGGGATGATTTCAACTTGTCCACTTGAAACTCCTCGTTTTATAGCTCCCTGTTGACATCCTGAATTTGTCTAGAAATATCTTAAATTGTGTTATAAATTTAGATTGAAAAAAATATATTAAAATATTTTATTGCTTTTCGCATATGCCGTTTTGGTATGATACAAATATCATTTTGATTGAAATGAATAATTATTTTTTTTAAACTATTCATAATTATGGGTTTTTTTTTTTTTGGTATTAACTTTTGTTTCGGCTATAATAAGAACATACTAGTTCATTTTCAATAACATACAGAAACAAGATCAATGTGTTTTTATTTTTCATCAATTATCATTTAACACTTTTTTTTTAACTCCCAATTTGACACAGAGTACTTTTTCAATAATCAAAAGTAAAATAACAAAAATTTCGAACTCCAAGGAAAATTCAATGGAAAACAACTGTCATATTCCTGACTTGGTACAGGCATTTCCTTATGTAGAAAATGGTGGATTTAAACCTGGTTTTATAGCTAGCTAAACCTCTCACTTGTATGACAGTTGCATAGAATACCATTATATTGACAACAACGTGTGCGCAAAACAAAAAGACATAATAGGTAAAGATGTCAAAAATTGGGGTACAGCAGTACACATTGTAATATATTCTAATCACAATAAAAACAAATAACTATTTCAACAAAGAAAAACAAATTGGCATACAGACACTCTATAGACAAAATGCATAAGCAAAAATGAGACAAGAATGCAAAATTGACCGTAGCACAATAACACAAACAATTATTTAACAAAACAAATATATCATAACATAATGTAAAGTATCTGTTAAATGTCTCTCCTTAATCGAATTACGAGATTTGAACATCGGGTAACTAATGTTGCCTTAATTTTAGAATACAATTTCTATGTAAAAAAAAAGCATATAGTATATTAACTGAATACGAATTTTTATTGTAACGCAGATATGAAATAAAAATACTATAGTAGGTAATACTTATAATTAGAGTTGAGATTATAAGTCATAAACAAAATTTAGATTTCCAAAACAGGATGTTGCATTAAAAAAGAGAAAAGAAAGAAATATGGTTTATTGATTCATTACATTAAGCATTGTTTTAAATGGAGAGGCATTAAATAAAAAGGTAAGAGTGAAAGACTCAAAGAGAAAGGAGATTAGGTTTATTTTTACTGCTCAAGTTTTATCACCAGCAAATTTGCATTTTTTTAGTTTATTTCTATTTTATACAAGTATTGTTTCATCATTCTAAATACAATTAAAAACTCATGAGAATTATCATTCAATTATTATTCAGTTGATATTAACTACATATAATTTCAAATAGTTTCCCTGTGACTTGTTCTATACATTAGAGTCATATAATACAGTTATATGTTTCTGCCTACATCTTAATAAAAATCTATTTAGAAAATATGGATACTCAAAAATTTAATATATATACCAGATTTACTTCTTCTTTTTTTATTATTGTGACTTTGTTTTCTGTGACTTTTTTTCTACATTCCTTTTTATATACCGGATTTTATAATGTTGGAACAAACCTGGATTATCCGAGTTTTAAGAAAGATGAACGAGTTATTGGTTTGGAATATGTCAATGAATCATGGAAAAAACTGATGTGACTTTAGTATTATTTAACAATTGAATATCTCAAACGAGCAAATATACCCTGATAAAATTTAGCCACGACTTTTTTAGTGTACTTTGTATTTGCCGTATTAAATTTCTCAATAGATTTGAAGAATTATAATTTATGTGCATTGCACTGAATTACTTGATATTATAGCTGCACTATATACTTACGTCACATGTCTCTGGCATCTTTTTCGCCAAAGCCAACCACATGCACGATAGTGTGTTATTCTCTGCTGTTGTGTTCTGTAACAGGGAAAACTAATCCTGTAATTCCCTGTACATCGTCCTTCACTAAAATAAAGAGTATTAGCATTATGATAATCACCATTTTTGTCGACATTTTTTTAAACGTATGATGTACGTTTTGGTCTCATAAGTTTACGAAAAAAGAAATCCATATGATATTAGGACTGATAAAAAATAGTATCCTCTTATCAAACGGATTTTTTTTTAGAAAATAGGGTAGTAGTCTTGGTGACACAATCGTATTGTGACTTTATCAAATTTATTTTTTTTATGTTGCACTAATGCGTACGTATACCTGTACCACTGAAATAAAGGCTGTGCGAAAAGTGTTCTATTGTTTTCTATAATACGCTTGAACTTGCCTTATCCATTTTTTAATGGATCTATGATATATAAATAGTTAGAAATATAAACTGACGAGATAAAGCTACTAGTCTTTCAAAATGTAATAAGTGAACAATTTAATGGGATATAATTTGTTTTTGTTTTATAAAAAGAGTATTTTTTCGGATTAGAGATTCCTTGGATGACCCTATATCGCTATCCTGATATATATGCAGAGAAGATTCAATTTGTGAACTAATATTAAAAATATGGGTACAGATGTCCGACCGAGGTTTAAAATCCACCCCAATTCATGTATTGAATTATTCGAAAATCCCTACCCATACAAATATTTCATAGGAAAATCATAAACCCATCAATTAATATTTCCCAGATATTGCCTCCGTGTAATTGCACCCCATTTATATATTTGACATTCTAAACTATATATATAAAGAGCCCCCCAACCAAATACCACCACACCCACCCCACCCCCCTCCCGCCCCACCTTATGCGCGTACCCTTGTCTAGAAAAACCATAATTTTATACTATTGTAATTTATCTTCTACTTTCCATTAGGTATTCACAATTCTATAACCCATTTAAACCAATAGAATGTAATCAACATTGTCAATAGACCAATCAGAACTTACTTTTGTTACGTAATAATTTCAAGATGGTGTGTTAATAGCGAATGATTAATTGATTAATTGATTGTTGGTTGCTTAACGTCCAGTGGCAAAAAGTTCATGCATGTCAAGGACGAAAACAAATTAATAATAAATTTAACGTCTCCATTCTGACCGGATGTGGCTACGTACTTGTACATCCCGCACAGCCAAACGGACGCCCCTACTTTGGCAAGGGTTTTTACTGCCGGTCGGAAGAAAAACTAAGTGACCATATTTCCTTTGATTACAAAATTCGCCTCGCTGCACTCGCCAGTATTTTTTCTCATATCGGACAATTACGCTCCCTTCTTCTAACCCTGGATCCACCCCTGTAAACCCTATGTTTAAAAGATATTCTAAGGATTATGTTTATACCATTAAAAATAAGGTGTTTAAGTCCTGTCAAATGTCATATTAAAACAAATTTATAGTACTATATTTATAGGAATGTACACACCTTTTACTTTTTGATAATTGAAAAGGTATTCTGCTTCGACTTTGTAATAAAACAAATAATTTGGTTAGATTGAAATGAAAAAAAAAGAAAATGCGTCCATCTGAAAATATTTTCAAAACAATATAAAAAACCATGAAACTCTTAGAAACATGTTTAAAACCAGATGTGAATGTCTTCTTCTATTTTTAAATACACTGGGCAGGGTCGTTAGAAAAGGGAGGGAAAAACGAGGACATGTTCTCCCTTAAACAATAATTTTAGGGTCTTGCCTATTTATCAGAGATAAAACATTTTATTTTATTTAAGATATAATTCTGCCATTCCATGCTCATTTTAACATATGTAAGCCTTGTATTTGTCAATATCTTTGTACTGAGCGTTGGCAATTGCTTTTCATATGAGAAGCGGTCAATGGCGGGATTGGATAGTGCAATGACTAAGAAAAACTATTCAGTTAACGCACTACTATAAAAGTAACGGAAGTTATGCAGTATTTTTTTTTTAAAAGTGCTTTGTTTTCAAATATGTTGATAATAATTTCCTCAACTGTTGGACTGTGAAGTTTGTATTGTGCGTTTTACCTTTAAAACATAGGGCCTCGATAGGCAAGGGGGTTGGGCACCCGTAAAATTTGTTTAACCCCTATACATGTTTAGAGCCTGTATAAACACAACATGTGGAAGGTTAAACAAGTTCAACTTCGTGTGCACATTCCCCCAAAGACAAAGAGAAAATATAGATGATAAATAAATTTAGTGAGTAAATATTTCAATATTGTGCTTTAAAGAAAGTTTCATAGGGAAGTTTTGTAATAATCAATTCTGAAAAGTAGTCAAAAGTAAATCGATCTTTCTTTTCTTCTTTTTTTTCTGAAATAGTCGTACAAGTGTGATCTCATTTAATTATTTTTATTATTATTATCAAAACAAATCATGCAATAATTAAAACATTTTATCTTAGAAGAAATTCGAATTTTTAGAGAAATAAAATCAAATCGCAATGTGTAATATAATCTGACAATGTAGGCACGCAAGACTATCATCATCTGTAACAGCTCACGACATCAGGATAAAGTTGCATGTTCAATATCGAAATCTGGTGCAGTAAAATTGGTACCACTTATGTTTCTCAACATGTAGCATTTTTAACTTTATTGATGTTTTTAACTTTAAATTTTACCTTTTTCCTGCTTTTGCTTTCCTTTGAAATTTATACGAAAGATTTTATAATTTTACTGTCATTGATATAAGCAGAATTCACATTTTAAATTTTAAAAAAGCACAAAGAGCATACATACATGTACTTTAATTTACTTATATAATATTATCCTACTTGCACGTTTGATTTATGGAATCTTTCTCATCCGCCCAAAAGGGCGTACATCTCTTTCAACTGAAATTATCGATTTCACATCATTACATTAGATAGCGAGCTGAAATAGTGCAGGTATGATAGTGTTTTGTATGAGCACAACTACTGGTAAAAGTATGTAGTAATATTGTCTTTATTCAGCAATCTTGTCTCTCCGTTAAAAAGAAATAACAAATTCATAAACATCTCAATAATATGCATAGTATAACTACTAATATAGAAGTAGAACAAAGGGTTAAAAAATAACAAAACAATTGAGGGTAGTCCATTTCATTAATTTAATTAATGTAATAAAAGTATATGCGTTGCAATCAAGTGATGATGATTAACTCACCTGTATAAAACGAATACCAAACCAAAAAAAGCAAACTCTAAAGGAATGAACTGCATGTCTCCTGACCTAATAGCAAGACTAACATTCGTTGCAGTATCGACTGTATTAACGTCACTAGATAATATGTATATGTATCAGATATTCAGTTGGTCAATCTCGTTGTATGAATATGCATTATTTGACTAACAATAAATCTTTTGATAAATTGGTAACGTGTGCATAGATAGATATAAGAAGATGTGGTATGAGTGCCAATGAGACAACTCTCCATCCAAGTCAAAATTTATAAAAGTAAACCATTTGAATCCATTAAATACTGCCTACATGTATCATTGGGAGGATACAAACTATCCACCCTTTAAATTTTGATTTCCAGTATTTAAACAAAGCACACATGAATCTGGAAGCACCATTTTTCTAACATATGCAATACCATATGAGATTTGGTGTACCTAGACTAAGGGAACTATCAGTGCAATTGTGTGTATAGAAGGATACCAATAGTGTCCCTCTAATCACTTGTCTGCACCTTATTTGTTAATATTCTCATTTTTTTTAAAATATTTTCTAAATTTACTTCAGCTATAAAAAAAAAAGGTTTCAGTGAGGTCTTAGATTTCAATTGACGTAGCATTATCATTTTAAAAAATCTATTTGAATTTAATTTCACAAATATAGAGAACGAAAATATGTACGCATATTTTTATATATTACGGATAACTACTTGCAAATCCACGAAAAGGAAGTTCTTGATAACTGGTATGGACTACGTGTATCAAACTAATTCAATAACGTTTGCCTGATGCGACAATTCTTTGCAGCATACATAAACAAAGACGTGACTACAGCATTTAATGTAATAAAACTGTTGCAAGTCGTTCAAAGTAGTTTGGTATCACCTTGCTTAAGCTTATATTTAGGGAATCAATTGCATACCAAACTCTATTTGACTTGCATACTGACCAAACATGATAATTAAAATCTGCTGCAACACCTTAAATCGTGATCATCGATTTGATGTGGAAAGAATTCAGCAAAATCCTATACTAATGTATTTTGACTCCTTACCGCTAATCTTCTAAAAGTGACATTTAAACCTTGGCTTTTTGAAGCATTACATCCCTTAGGTTTTCAGAAATAAACATAAGCTTTAGATCTTTTGATGAAGCCTATTCAGAATTTATCAACATATACATGTCTCTATTTTGCCATTATTGATATTCCTGTCCCAAACAGTAAATGTGATATTCAAAAACCAAGATTTATAAGGGTTTTTGAAAGCTTTTTTTATTTTTTGGTTTAATTTTAAAGTTTATTGTGGAATTATGATTCCAACCGCAGGAAAATCGACATTTCCTAAGACACTTTTACGGTTTTACTATTTGTAAAGTAAACAAGTAAAGGAATTGTATTTCTTTTTTTCTTTTTTTACTTAACAGAAGTATTGATAATAACAATAATTCTTTACCGATTTATAAAGTATATACTGGGTCAATACTGCTATTGGACTGTTAGTCCCCGATGGTATCACTAGCTCAGTATTCAGTGCTTCGGTACTAATATGATTAATCACATATACGTATTCAAAATTCTCCTTTCATGAATTAAGAAATCATTTAGAAACTAAAATTCCAACTCCCGCAGGCAAAGGAGAGCCGAAAGATACCTAAGGGACATTCAAACTCATAAGTCGAAAATAGAATGACAACTCTATGGCAATAAAAGAAAAAGACCAAAAGACAAACAACAGTATACAAAACACAACATAGAAAACTAAAGACTGAGCAAAGTTGACCTTTAATATATATGGTTATTCTGTTTAGGTTCTTTTTGATCATATAGCTCATTACGTTGCATCGTATTTACGCATCCCAGGCTTTCAAATATTTCTCATGGTGGTAAATCCAGAAAAGCGCTCAATAAAAAAAAAGTTACTTCATTTAATGTTCATCACATATTTGGGTTTGGCGTTCCTAGTGAAGTAATTCTAAAGATACTCTTTCTGTCTGAAGTGCTTTTCTGAATAAACTTTAAACAGAAACCCTCAAAACCAAACTTTGAAAGCCAACGTTGCACAAACACGGATGAGCAATATGACGAGAATGGGCCTTATATGAAAAGCCAAGATGATCTAAGGTCAATTGTAACTGAGAGATTTGATACCTTTGTTTGGTTCTTTTTTAATTTCTCAAACCAAAAGAAAATTACGAAATGTATGTCACCGGTCTTGAGGTTATAATCATACCCTTGATTATAAATTAATGCGTAGGAAATACGATTACCTTCAATATTCTAAATTGTAGTTTAAGAGAACAAAATGTGTTTTTTTAACAATCCTGCATTGAAACTCTTGTCAAATCTATTCTGGACATTTCATAATTTATTGTTTTCAAACACTGTTTACTTTGTATTACGTTTATTATATAGCTGTATGAATTACTAAGATAAGAGTTAATGCAGCTTGTTAATTAAAAGGCAGGCTGTAAAGTAATTTTAAACCGCTTTTTTGACTATAAGAATTCTCTGCGGAATCATTATACTTCCCGAAGGAATATAGCGATGGGGAAGTCCGTCTGTCTGTTCGTTCTACCGTTCGTTCGTTTGTTCGTACTTCTGTTAAAATTTTGTATTGGCAACTGTTCCTGATCCGCTGGACATAATTTTGTGAACATTTCACGGGATCTTGCTCACATGAGGCACCTTTGCACCTCGTATTTAATTTCTTTACCGGAATATCTTTTGTGGTTAACTTTGAGAAGACATAATTTATAACAAAACAATTTACAAAAAACAAATATGACAGATATAAACCAACGACAACCACTGAACTACAGACAACTGACTTGTGACAGACACTTAAAGAATGTGGCGGAGTTAAACATGTTTGTGAGCGCTGTTTATCAATTTCTAATGTTTAGAAAATAGTTTTTTCTTACTGCAAAACGATATGAATAAACTATGACATGTATGAAATAAAATTTCAAATAACATCATTTGAGAGATTAAAACCGTTTGGCTTACTAAGAGTTGAAGGAGTTTCCGAATTAGGTGCCTAATTGTATGCTTTAAGGTATACCGCCATCTTGGATTGTACAATAGCAGTACACTATCAGTCTAGTTCTTTGCCTTAATTTGCAAATTTTGAGACAAATTTGCAATTAATGTGTAAGACTATTTATTTGCATAAAGAAAATAAGTGATTTATTGCATTATTCAAAAGGTTTAAGCAAATAACAAATATTTGTGTTTTTTAGAATCAATTTTTCAACTTAGCCATTTAAGGGGAAATAACTCGTATAATAAAAATTTTATACTTGTAGCAAGAAAACAAGTTCGATGACCCCATTTTTTCTTTTTATTTTCTTAAAGCATATTATAAAACCTATCTTCTCATATTTTATTTCAAAATTCTATCCCATAGATTTCTTTTTATTCACAAAAATGTGTTTTTTTCATGAACAATCTATGCAAATTCGGGCAATTTTGCACGACTTGTAGCTTGAAAAATAGCACGGTGACCCATAATTTTTATTATATTTTTGAAAAAAGCATAGTGAAATCTTCATTTTGGCAAAGTATAAGAAACTTCTATCTGAGGAAATATATACCGATGATCCACCTTAAATCAAAACAAAATAACATGCACTTACTTGGAAAAATAAAATATCGAAAAAAGATCTATCGGTGGAAATATGTATTCAATAATTGATAAATGTAATTAAGCTTATCAATTTTTAAAAGTCAAATTCGTGTTCGTGAGTTGTCTTAATTGGTTTTTCGGTTATCATCTTTTCTTCATTTCACGCAGAGGATATTTTCCTTTTGTTGCAGTCTACTGCTGAGAAATTTAACCTTTATACCGGCATAATTTGAACATGAGCCTAAGAATTAGGCAGCTTCAAAATCCTATTAATATCCAAATCCAAAAAATCTGCATAAGAGATCGTTTTAATAATGCCTGGCAATAATTGATTATTAGGAACAAATGAGCGAAAAACGGTCCATACTGTGCATTTGAGAACCATAACATAGTAATTTCTCCAAAACGACTCTTGATATTTCTCCTTATAAAATGCTACCCGTTTTCACAGATATTCCGACTCAATACCAGATATTTTAACTTGAAGGGATCAAGATTAGACAAAACGGTGGTTGTAGCAGAATACGAGTATCACTTTCAGCTTTGGGCGATTACTTTTCTTTTCTCATGCCATATTTTTAAAAGTTGTTTGATTTTTTTACATATTTTGTGCTTATATGTGCACATTTCTTTGAGATTACATGTACCTCTTTGTTTTATCTGTCTTTAATCTCATTCGTGTATTTTCATATTGATCTTTCATCCATCTATTGACAACGTCGATCTGGTAAGCATCTTGTATCTTGTAAGTTGAACATACCAGTCGCTATTACAAGTTTATTATAAAAAAAAAAACATTTATCGAGGAACGGTTGCATGTACATTACATGGCCATAAGTATTCGTATCCTACAATTTTTTGCTATATATTTCATACAAAACTACGTTTTTTTTCAAAAAGAATTTTAAGGCATTTATGATTGGATTTTAACAAACCACATGTTGAAAGACGCAGAATTGTCTGGATTATGTTTGTTTATTTGGTAATAGATTTCTCGTCAGTTGTTTTTTTATTTTCTCCAGTTGTGAAAATATATAACAATTTTTACATTTTAATGTAAATGAAATATATAACAAATTTCTGGACAAAAAATAAAACTTGTATTTATATCATCAGAAAATGAGAACGCTTCTCAACAGACCAAATAAACACAATACACCTGTAACAATTCTGCTTCTATTGGCACAAAGTTGATTAAAATGATACCAGAAATGCCCCAATAATATTGTTGGGAAATTTTTTTTTTAGATCTATAGCAAAAATGGTAGGTGACGAATACTCACCTGTGTATTTTGTAGTCCATTATACCGTTAGCACATACTTACAACTTCTCGTCCAATCAAATTGCTTATATTTGCCTTCTAATTTTCATAGTACATACTTTTCCTGTGTACTAAGTAACTACGCATGAATGACCACAAGGGTAAGATTTCAAGATATTGAAATAAAATGCTGTGTTCCAAATTAAATTAAATAGTTTGTAATTAGTTTTCACGTTGATTTTTAAATATCCTG